AGGAGCCTGGAGCACACAGTCAGCCCTGACTCATGGCTGGTCCCACATTGCTGAGGGATGAGGTGCTCCTGGCACAGGTGTAGGGGACAAAACCTCTGGGACCCACCACATTGCCAGTCTTTGAGTCAGTGTTAAGAAGGCAGTTTTGCTTTCTGATGTCAGAGCCAATCCCAGTCAGATTGCAGCAGCCTGGGACATGCCGCTATCAAGGTTGTAATTGGTTCATTCTATTCAAAAAGGAAGGAAGAAATAAAACTTGGGAAATGAGAAATTGTTTGGAGAAGGAGGGAAGCAGGAAAGGATCCAACCAAAAGGATCTGTGGTGATTCAGACCGGAACGTGCCTGCTGTCAGACCTAGAGACAGGAGAGCAGGTGACGGTGTCACTGGTGTCATGCCGGGGAGGGTAGGATGCGTCATGGTGATGACTGACAGCGTTGTAATGTGTTACAGGGAGAAGAGTCCCTGGGTGCATTGTCTGGGTGTTGGGGAATGTGGCGTCGCCGGAGAGTTGGCTGCGTTCGCTGCTGTTATGATCTTCGGTGCTGCACCAGTTTAAATCCCATCTTGCCATTTAGCAATCCTGGCAAGTAGCCCAGCCCCACATCCCTGTCCTACAGCAGCAGCAGGAGAGCTTGGGAGAAGCTAAGCTTCCCACGTTCAGGGCAGCACAGGACCCATGGTGTGGAGGGGGTAATGGTGGGGAACAGATAAATCTCATCCTCTGCCTGGTCTCCCCTCTTGATATTCCAAGGAGGTCCCACTAAACAAGGGTTTTATGAGCAGCAAGTAAAGGATCTGCCTCGCATCTACATCAGTGCTGCTCCCAGGAAGCAGCAGGTTCTTATCTTGTCTTCCTTCCCTTTATTTTCAGTTACTTATTTTAAAATGCTGGCAGCGGAACAGTTTCAAACAGTCACGTCCATTTTAGGGAGACGCAATCCTCCTCCAGCATCAGTGAATCGTAGACCCAGAAAGATTCGCTGGCTACCAGTGCTGGAAGCCATGCAAACCGGTGACTAAGCTCAGTGTCTGGGATGCCAGAGCCAGCTGCCAGACTAGGGAATCGTGGAGTGCAGAGGGGAGAAAGACCAGCATGGCTGAGTCAGCCTTCTAGCTGGCATGAGAGCTGGGTTGTTGAGTTTGCCTGCAACAAGAGTGCAGGCTCACGCTGCTTCTCTAGTTGGACATCTCTTCTGGAGGTGGGGAGCATGTTCCTCCCCTGCCCAATGCTCTGGGAGCCAGACCTTGATATGGGGCTAGGGAGAGCCAGAATCTGCCCCAGCTCTTGGTGCTTTTAAGGGTCTACTGAACCCCAAAGGAGCCTGAGGGCCCTTTGGTGTGTGGTTAAAGCTGGGGTTGCCCTAGCAGGATCTGGCAAGGTCAGCCCATTTCACCCTGTTATGACCTGGTCAGATGGGAAGCAGGATTGCTCTGTCTGTTATCTGCATCGCTCTCTGGGTTTTAGGATAGATCTCTCTGCCCTCATCCCATCCAGAGCATCTCCCTCTTCCTTTCCCTCCTCCTCCATTACCTCACCCTGCAGGCATCCTTCCGAGATGTACCGGGCTCCCTTCTCCTCCCTCATTTAATATTATTCTTCTTCAATCTGGTGTGGTACTCTCCATCACTCCTGCAAAGCACAAAGCTGCTCTTTCTCCCATTCATTCCTCCAGACTGGGGTTAGCATTTCAATTGACAATTGTGCCATTGATTTGCGAGCTGATGGTGGGGCTGGCAGTAAATGCCAGGCAAAGGGACTTGCTGGGGTTAGCAGGGCTCTGGAAACAAGCCCTATGTCTTCTGAAGCTCCAGACTTGATTTTGGAGGGAGGATGGTGGCAGGGTCTCGCCTTCCCCCTTCCAAAGGGGTGAGCCTGTCTTTGCAGTGTCAAAAGCAGCCTTGGGCTTGCTAGGAGAGGCATGTCCCCTTCTTTGGGGACATAGTGTAGGCCATTAGATGCCCTCTACCTCATCATACCCAGCTCCTGAAGCCTTTTATACCCCAGGGTCCTGGTGTCGGGGTGCAGGGCTGCTCCCCCTGATCCTGCCGGATGAGAAGCAGAGGTGAAGGGGATCAAACAACTTCCCTAAGCCAAGCTGTTTAAGGCAGAGTAAGGCCTGAGGGCCAGCTTTGCAGGTCAGCTGGAGGGCTGGCGTGAAGGCAGAGGGACCCCAGCGTACGCTCACGGAAGCACCTTTAAAAGGCTGCCTTCCAGATCAAGTTAAATCAGCGCTGGAGCTGCAAACGCGCTCCTGAGCCCTGGCTAGCAGAGCTGTTTACTCTCAGCTTAGTGATTCAGTGCTGTCCCCGGGGAGCAGTAGGATAAATAATATGTTGGCGCCAACCAAATTATTGTTTTGGGCTGGTTTGTTTCTGAGTGTTTGGAGAGAAGTGTGTCCTTGCAGGTTGGCATGGCTCTCGGAGCTGAGGCAGTGTGATGAAAAAGCCTCAGAATTAAACCAAAGATAATTGGGTCATATGGGGCTGAAGTGTGCAAAAGGGTGAGGTGGGGAATGGCTCCAGGTGTATATTTTCTTGGATTAACTTTAGGGCCGGGCTGGAGGTTTGAAAACAAGAGCAAAGTTTGCTGAAGTCTGGCCAGAGCTGCCTGCGGTGTGTTGGGGATGGGTCGGGCTGGCAGAGGTTGCTGGATGGGGGAGAAGGGCTTTAGGGTCTCCTGCTCTGCAGGTTGAGTCAAGAGGGAGATTTTGAGAGCTGCTGGGTGAGATTTTGAGAGCTGGGCTGGTGAAAAGAGGATTAGTCTTCTCTTCCCTGGCAAGCATAGACTGAGTCTGTGGTTGATGAGATGCCTGGGCTAGCTGGCATGACTAGCTGGCATCCTGCTTGTAGGGCCACTTAGGCAAATGAGTTGCACAGTCACTCTGAAAAGACTCGATGCCAGCTTCTCCAGCAGGCAAAGCACATGCTCAGGAGTTTCTCCACGTCCTTGGAGAGAGGACAGACTGTAGAGCTGGGGGGGGGATGAGGAGTAGGCAGGGACTGTCACCCAGCTGGGCTTTTCTGGCTGTGGGGTCCCGACTGCTGAATCCCCGCCCCGTGGCCCTCGTCCCGCAGTGCAGGGGAAGGGCAGTCCGGAGGTGTTGCGTTAGCGAGAAGCAGCGATGGTTTCGGTACCATGGCGTGCTTCCACCTTCTCTCTTGGCAGCTGAAGTGCCCTTGTGAAACAGAGTCCTGTGGGCCTGGCTGAGTTTCCCATCACCAGGCAGCAGCCACCATTAGCCAAGCTGGTGATAGGAAAGCCTTGCTGCCTGGGTACCGTTTAACCCTGCAAGGATTAGAGACCCTCAGGAAGTGCGACCAGCATACTGGAGTGGAGAAAAAAGCCACAAATCCAGCAGACATTCAGTAGCCCCAGTGAACTCCAATAAGTCTTCTTTATTTTTGGCTCCATGGAGCCTTGGTGGGACCCCTATGCAGCCTGCTTCAGGGCAGAGGGGGAGCGCTGGGCAAAAGATCGTCCTTTGCTTGTCCTGCCAAGTGCCCCTATAAATAGAGAGGGACACGTGCCACTGATTAATTGCCTGTCTGTGCAGGCAGCCAGCTCCCGAGGCAGACGCAGCCTTTGTCTGCTGGGAGCAGCAGCACTTGCCAGTAGAGAGGCCCTCTTCTTTGGAAAAAGAAAAAGAGGGAGACATGAAAATGGAGTGCCCTGTCACGCTAAGCAGAGGTCAGTCCTGAGCAGAGATTTCTGGCCCCCCCCTGCTCAGAGGAGCAATTCCTCTCGTGTCATTGCTGCAGACTATGGTAGGGGATAAAATAGCCTACGGCAGCGCATGTGTGCCACGTGCATTGCACCTTGCTCTGGAGCTGGGCCCTGGCACGGCTGCTGAAAGATGCCCAGATGTGGCTGCACTGTCCTGGAGGGGATGCAGGACCAGGAGAACCTATCAAGGGAGAGCAAAGGCCCCAGGAGAGGAGGCTCACACTGCAATGCAGGGCCAACCTCCCACACCTGGGCTGGCAACGCAGAGGGGAAGGGGGGATGCTTTTAGGAAAGAGGAGCTAGAAATGCCAGGAGGTGAAAGAGGAAGGAAAAAGGGGAGGACAGGCAGTTCTTCCTCCCAGCTGGGAGAGGAAAGCTGCTCGTCTGCAGCTACCAGTTGTGACATGTGTCCTAGGTCTTGCAACTCACTTCTTGATCATGTCTGGGGCATGAGTTGCTGCTTTACATGCACGCTTCCCCTGTCACATGTAGGGTCTCCAAACCCTGTCCATCCCTCCTGGCCTTTTGAGGGAGGATGCTGACAGTGCAGCTGGAGGGGAGAGATGTGATGCTAGGCTATGCCTGGTGGGGACAATTTAGCCCGTGGGCACGGGGAGACAGGCCCACATCTACAAGGCAGTGCAGCAGCTCCTCTCCTGTTCAGCCAGATAAGAAGTCACAGCTCCAATTAAGCATGTACAAGGTCTTAAAGAGGGGCACAGAAAGCTGCGGGCGTGTCAAATGCAGGAGGGTGCAGGAGCCACATCCACAAGGCAGTTGTCTGGAGCAGTTGTCAGAGGATGGCCAGAGAGGGGAGGGAGCCCTTCATCTCAAAGCTGGGAGGCAGGAGGCACTCAGCCATTAGAGCAGGTGGGAATGCAACGCTCACCTGGCTGCTGCAGAGCCAGTTATTGAGTGAGTTTGAGCTTCTGCTCTGCACAAGAGCTCCTGCAGCAAAGTTTCTCTTCCTCCTGCGACAGCTCTGCAGGGGCCAGGCAGAACCAACTCCACTGTGCAGCTCTCTAGTCCCTCAGGACCAAGGGGAGAATAGCTCAGCTCTGAGCCTTGGAGCTGCCTCTTCCTGCCTGTTTGGTGCTGGGCCAGCCATCCTGGGGGGCTCCCAGCCATCCCGGAGGGCCCCCAGCCTCATGTCCTTGTTTTTCTCATCACTTGTGTGGAGAACATGGAAAGAGTTGATCAGGCTGAGCTGGCTGTGGTTGCTCTCTGCAGTCAGCTGCAGTTCCCCTGACGAGTGTCTCCTCTGCTGTGCCTAGGTGCGAAAGAGTATGCATTTCCCAGGAGTGAGAAGTACCCGGTCTTCTATCATCAAGAAGACAGCTCAGCCATCTACATTGGAGGAGAGGGGAAGCTTTATTACTACAACTTTGCAACCTATGAGAACTACACGGTAAGGATGCTCTGCTAGCAAGTTTGGTCCTGCAACCATGTAAGAAAGTGTTTAGCATCCATCTCGCAGCCCAAAAGCTAGATACCTCGCTCAGTATCTTTGCCAGCAGCAAAGTCAGGCCTGGAAGGGTCTGATCTGTGCGCAGCCTGCTCCATCCATCTGGGAATGTCAATATGAGGAATGGCTGCAGCAAGGGAGAAGTCTCCTACAATAGTTGTGGGTGGATTCTTCCCAGGCTGTGATCCCCTTGAGGTCTTTGCTGCCCTAGGGGGAAGATTTTTCTGGTGAAGGACCCTTTCTTTAGCCTGGGAAGAGATGCTCAGACTCACATCACTGAGGAGAAGCTATATTCCCATCCCTTTCCATTGTTGGAGCCCAGGCTGCTTTTCCTCAAAAGCAGGAAGTTCTGTATCAGCTGGACACTAAGTTTATACAGCAGGAAAACCCTCCCAGTTGGCTTTCTCATGACCTCTTCTTGTCCTTACCAAACAACTGGGTTGCTGAAGTTGCAATAGATGGCCTAGATGCTTCCCTTCTTGTTCCCAGAAACAGTGTGGTTCAAGTCTCCCAACCCTCAGATGCCACCACACATTCCCCACAACAACAGATCCTCTCCCAAAATCCTTTGGATAGCAGCCCAGGTTGGTTGCTAATCATGCTTGCTGGTTTGGCTCTGCATCCCCACTTCTCCTCATCACCTTGAGGCCCTCAGAGATCCAGCCCTGCTTTCCCAAAGGTTTTCAGATGCTGAGGTGGGGGAAAGGCTGTGTTGCAGTGTTTAATGGCCTTCTCACCAACATGCTTGCTTTGCTTCTTGATAAGAGAGGGACTAGTGTGCGGTGCATGGGACTGAGCCCATGTTACTCGGCTTTTAGAAGGAAGGAACTAAAGCATGTGTCTCTCTCTTTTATTCTAGGAAGACTTCCCAGTGAAAAATGAAGGACAGTGCATGATGTCTGGGAGTCTGGTAGGTCCTACCTGTGATGAAACAGGCTGAGGGTTGGAGGATTTGGATTGAAGGACCGCAGGGGAAAGAATTGTGTATGCTCCTCACATGCTGTCTCTGGGTGAAGACCTCCAGTGCCTGTGGAGCAGAATGTCAGATGAGATGACAGCAGTTTCCTCCATAGGTTTAAAACCCATGAAAAAGCTAAGAAGCCCCATAGCAGTGTGCTTGGTAGGGCTGTGGGCTTGGAGCTGTGGGGCTGCGCTCTACCTTTCACAGCTGCTCATGCTCCTCTTCTTTTCCTTGCAGGAGGACAATAAAAATTACATCACATTAGTGGAGAAGTATGGAGATGGGATGTTAGTGTGTGGGACCGGTGCCTGCGCTCCTACCTGCTGGAACTTGGTATGTTGTGGCCACCTGTGATGGGACCAGAGCAAAGCACTTTTCCTGTTTTGTTTTGTGCTGTCTCCATCTGTAAGATGGTATCCTGATCCTGAAATGCCCAAATGCCAGTCCCCTTGGGCTACTTACTGTGACACCATGGGACAGTCTGTGTAAGCAGAGGGTCCGTACATGCCACCTTGGTGCTCACTTGTCATATCCCCCTCTCCTCACCTCCTGCCTGCAGCAGGGGTTCTGCCTGGCCAATTCAAAGATGTGCTGTGTCCTTCCCTTGTTTGGGGCTGTGTCAGCCAAGGAGAGCTACTTTCCTCCTGCCCCAGGGATGGATGTGGGCACCTGGGTCCCCTGCACTTACCACACTTCTAAGGGGCCATTTCTGTCCTTCCCCAGACACAGAAGAAGGAGAGCACTTCGTGGGATGGGAGAGGTATTGCTCCTTTCACCCCTGACTCGAATACCCTCGTCGTTGTTGATGGTAAGTCTGTCTGCTTGCGTGTTTTCAGTCGTGATGCTAGGCTCTTTGTGGTGAAAAGGGGCTCCTGGGCTGCTCCAAGGTCTTTGTCCCTCTGCTCTAGCTGGTGATTTGCCTTAGTACTTCTTCCTTTTGCCTCTTGGAAATATTATATGACAGAACATGGCACAAGGTGGTTTATACCTGTCCAGGGCCCGGGGGGTTGAGTCTCTGTGCAGGAGGGTAGAGTGCAATGGAAACAGGGGGGAAGGAGGTTCCTGCAGTAACTTCACTGCTTTGGACCTGGCAGAGCGAGGGATGGGGCTCCCTTCTAGATGCAGAGCAAGAATTTATCCCTGCTGCCTTGTAAGGAAAAAGATTGAAAGAGGTCCCTGGAGGAGTTCTGCCAGGCCTGCTTAGTCCTAGGTAATGAGGACTAGGTTTCTTGACCTGTGTCCACCATCTCTGTGAGTCTTCTTGGCCTGCCCATCTGCCCAGATAGTTCTTGGTTCTTTGTTTTCTTCTCACAAACCTTTCTGCTTCTTCTGGAAACAGCCTACTGCAAATGAGCCTTCCTATCCTACAGGTCATGACATCTACTCCACCATCAAGAAGAGCCAGCAGAATGGCAAGATACCCCGTTTCCGACGAGTGAGAGGTGGTGGAGAGCTCTACACAAGTGACACGGTGATGCAGAGTGAGTATGGGGAGATCCTGCAGGTGTGGGACCTGCCACTTCACCCCACCAGGCTAAATAAGACTTTATCAGTCAACAACTGTGGGCCATAAGTACACAGCACAGCTTGGAGGGGTACATCCTCTCTGCCCAGCTGGGGTGTAGCTCTAGAGCTTCTTGCTTGGGTTTGGTCACCCCTAGAGCTGTGGAGGCAGCCAACGTAGTCCCCATCTGCAATGCTGGTGAGGAGGGACCCAGTGGCTCCCTCCAGCTCTCTTGCTGCCAGCTGGGGGAATTTCACCCCTTTGCTTTTAGGACAAAACAACAGACAAGCGAGTTCCTCTTGCTCAGGGTGAGGAGATGGGGAAATGGAGAGAAATGGCAGCAAGTCCCCTGTCAGATGCTGGGAGGAAATATGGTTGTGTAAAGGTGCCTATCAGCTGCTGTGCTGTGATGGAAACAGGAAGAACAACTTCCACTCCAGGCAGTAACTCTTTCCAAATCCCCAGCTGGGGTGAGACCTTGAGGCAGGCACATGTTAAGCTGTGTATGGGACAGGATGGGGAATAGAGAGAGAGGACCCTCCTCAGTTTCTGTGAGCTGCTTATGTTGCCTCCTCGGTGAACTGGGGAATGGGAGATTATTGAACCTCTGGTCAAAGACAAAAATCAAATCAAAACGACACCAGGACAAAACAGAATTTGTATGTGCAGGGCAGAGGACAACCAGGGCACCAGTAAACAAACTAGATTAAACCCAGAGGCATGAGGCTGATCCCGTGCTTACACAGAGCTCCCTGCCATGGGGATGCTGACTAATGATGCTCAGAGGGACTCTGCTGCTGCTGGGGATGCCTTCTGTGGCAATGGTGTATTAATAGGAAGAGCATCATTGGGCTTTCCACAGCAAACACAAACAGCAGTGCAGCTTCTTCCCACCGAGGGAGCCTTCCTCTACAACAATAGCTCCTGATATGATATGATAATTTTTAATAATAATTCCTCATCTTGTCTGAGGGTGAGTGGTTAGCTGCAGACCACGCTGGTTTGGTCCCTGCTGGTGGCTTTTCAGATGAAACATGAATGTTCAGACCAAGGTTTTCTGATGGCTCACTTCCCTTTTTAGACCCTCAGTTTGTCAAAGCCACCACATTAAGGCATGAAGAGCCTTACCAGGACAAGATTTACTACTTCTTTCGTGAAGACAACCCAGACAAGAGTCCTGAGGCCCCCAGAAACATCTCCCGCGTGGCCCAGCTGTGTAAGGTAGCACGGGAACAGTGTATGGTGGGGAGGCAGGAGTGTTACAAAGGTGGCAAACAGATGTGCCAGCTCACTTGGTATGACCAGCACATGAGTTGGCCCTTCTGGCTCAATTCTCTCTTCTGCCACAGAGTTCATGTGGGGCAGGCTGTGTTCTTTGGCTTTCCTACCCTCTGGCTTCTGTCTTGCCTGTAGGGGAGAGAAAGCCCTGTTCTGTCTCACCGAGATGTTAAGAGAGATACACGATTGTTGCAGTGGCCATCATCAAATACACCTCCAGAGCATTTCCCAATTATCCATCCAAGATGCTGGATGAGGGGGCAACTCGGTGTTCTTCTCTGCCAAACCTTGACTCCCTGCTTTCCTTCTCCTCCAGGAAGATAAAGGGGGAACCAGTTCACTTTCTGCTTCCAAGTGGACCACCTTCCTGAAGGCCAGCTTGATTTGTGTTGACCCGGTCACCAAGGGCAACTTCAACTGGTTGCAAGATGTCTTCTTTGTCCCTGCGAGTAACTGGCGGCACTCCAAAGTCTATGGGCTCTTCACAAACACCTGGTGAGGGTCTTGGCAAAATGAGAGGATGTTCTGTCCCATGGGCCAAATCCTTTCTTTCAGCCCTTTAGTCTCTCTGGCAGGCATGTGGGTGGAAAACAGCCAGAGTGAACACAGTCAGTGAAGGTGTGATGCATGCAACCATGCCCCAGCTGTAGAGATGACAGCCAATGTCTCCCTGACCCTGTCTTTGCCTTGTTTCCCTCAGGGGAAGCTCTGCTGTTTGCGTCTATTCCTTTGAGGACATTGACAATGTGTTTCGGACATCCAAACTCAAAGGCTATAATGGTCCCAACCCGGAGATCAAGCCTGGGCAGGTAAGTGATAAAAGATGCTCATGTGAAGTGGAGAGGCCTCCCGAGGCCAGGAGAGCTGGTCCCTGCTCTGCCACTGCAGTTGTCAGAGTAGCTGGGACAGGTGATGGGACTGTCCCACCACTGAGCAGCCAGTTGAGAGCTGGGGCAGGTTGTGTAGGCACTGCAGGAAGGATCTCAGCTTTGTTGCTGGAAACAAAAGGAGGCTGGATAAGGACCAACACCTTCATAGAAAGCAAGGGGAGGTGAGGTCCTGCATGCCTCAGCAAACAGTTCTGCGAGCTCTCGTGTGTGATGCTGGAGGACAATGTCTTGCCTTGTGTTTATGAACCCCCATGGGTTTCACCAAGCCAACCTGCAGCCCAGCCCCACAGTTACGGGTGCACCACTGACCTGGCAGCAGACAGCGGCGTGGAGGGAGGCTGCTCTGAGCTGCTGTGGGGGGTGACAGAGTGTGAGTCTCCTAAACTGTGACTTCTGCAGGGGAGATGGGTGGTAGGACCTGGCATGGGCACAATCACAGCAGCCCCAGGATTTGATTTGTGGTTTACCCCCAGAGCAGGCTTGTGCACCGTGCCTGGGCATCCTCCCCTGGGCTGAGGTGTCTGTGCTGTGCCCTGCCTTGTTCTTCTGCCCTCCAGCCTCATCCCCAGGGACCTGTCTGACTCTTGATTGTGCCTTTTGTCCCCTCTCGCCACAGTGCGTTTCCTCTGGACAGCACACCCCGAGCGAGACCTTCAAGATAGCTGACAGCCACCCTGAGGTAGAGGACCGGGTTGAACCCCTCTCCCCCACCAAGAGCCCCTTATTCCACAATAAGCACCGCTACCAGAAAATTGGGGTGCACGAGGTCTCTGCAGGTGATGGACGTCACTACAATGTGCTTTATCTGGCAACAGGTACTGGGAACCATTCCCTTTGGTGTCCCCCCAGGGTTTGCTTTCCCCTTGAGGGCAGGGAGCAGAGGGAAAGCAGACGAGACCCCCAGTGCAGAGCGAAGTAAGGGGCTGTGTTCCCAACTCAGCATATGTTTGTCAAGCAGAAAAGAGCTGCCAAGTCCCAGTACAGCTAAATACATCCAATTTGGCTGCATAGGCAAAGACAGGCTGAAAGCAGAATCCCACCGCATGGGATTTACCCTCTTGAGCTGCTTCAGCCTGTGGGAGGTCTCATACCAAGCGTTTTCAGGGCAAGAGAGGGGTAGCACAGCTCTCCCCAGGTGCAGCTTTACACTGTCAAGCAGAAATCCTTTGCAAAGGGACCCACTTTGTCATCTCCTGGCCCTGCTTGCTCTGGTGCAGCAGCGCAGACTTCCTGTGAGACCAGCACCTCTGGTTGCAGACACAGCCAGCTGATCACAGCTGCCAGAGGTCCTGGGGCAGCTGGAGATGTTGCAGAGCTGGGCCAAAGCAATTCAGATGCAGGTGGACAGGATGGCAGAGCAAAAAGTTGGTGAGCAAAGTCAGGCGGCTACCTGGGTTCCCACACGGTGTAGCTACTCAATGCCTTGAAGGTGCAAAGGTCCCTAACCCTGCTTAGCTCCCTGGGCTTGCTCCCTACAGCTGTGCTCATCTCTTTTTCTGTGCTGAAGTTTGTTCATTGACACTTGCGGAGGGACTTTCTAGGGTGTTTGTTTCCCAGTCCGTGATTAAAAGATGCAGACAGCTCTTGGTAGGTGGCCTGGGTTGGATTAGGGCCCACGCATGCTCAGATTGTTCTTGTCTCGCTAGGAGGCTTAGCTTAAATGTAGCTAAGCCTTGCCGAGTCCCACCAGGGAGCTTGCTCCAAGATGCGGGGCTTGGCAGGGCAGCTGCCCACCCTCGCTGGGGCAGGCATGGAGGCAAGGACCAGCACCTGGGGGGTCCTAATCCCTACCTGACCTTGGGTCACATCTTTCACCTCCCCCTGGTTGATGGTGGAGAAGGGAGTGACTATTTGGGAAGGGGAAACCATGGAAGTACTTAAAGGAGGGTAAACAATGAGGATTCCTAAGGCACGTTCCCTTAAGATCTGTCTTTCCAACCTTCCACCAAACTGACTCATTTTCTTAAATCACCAGTTTGGAATTGTTTAGCTGAGGAGGGGGGTCAGTTTAATTAGAAAAACCGAAAGGCAAAAACCCAAGTTTCAGCCTCGGGCAAGTGGTGAGATGAGGCTCATGCAAGAACAGAGCAGTGATCAAAGCAGAGTGGAGCTCCAGAGCGGTTGGTTTTTCTTGCTGAGGCCGTTACAGCGCAGCTGAGCAAAGCAGGCACAGCCAGGTCCCGAAGGGTGATGGGAAAGGGGTTCCTCATGGCTCTTGACTGGGAGGATGACAAAGCTCTGCTGTGGGAACCACTGCTGTCTGGGGGATGGTTTCCAGAGCAAGCTGGCTCCTTCTGAGAAAGGTCTTCTCTGGGTGGCTGGTTTGAGGAATCCAGTCAAGCCTGGCTCTGCAGAGTGGGTATTGTCTGCCACAGCAAGGGCTGGAGGCAGAGCTGGTTCTCTGCCTGGCTTCCCCACCCCTGCCTGCAGCCCCTCTGCCTTGCCTTTCTGCTCTCAGCATGCTTCATCAGCGCTATTCTCTCTTTCTTTCTAGACAAGGGATCCATCCACAAGATTGTGGAGCTGCCAGACGGGGTGCAGAACATCATGGAGCTCCAGGCCTTCCCGAGGAAGGACCCGATCCAGTCCATGATCCTGGACCACAAGAGGGTGGGTCTCTACCTGCTCCGTAGAAAGGAAAACAGTGGGTTGGGTAGCTTTAAAAGCAGGGAGGGCGGGGAAAGAGAGGGTTTAATGACAGCCTCTGGATCAGGAAGTAGCCTCTGGGTGGGTTTGTGAGGGATCCTACAGCGTGCTTTGCTAAATCCTAACAGCTGGGCTGGTGTCACCAGTCCTGGGTAACTGTCTGGTCAGTGGGCAACAGAGCTTTTCTGATGCCTCCTCTCCTGGAGGTGACGGAAGAAAGAGGCTGTTTGTTCCCTGGGTCAAATCCCAGCACAGTGTTCTCCTCCCCCAGCATTTTCCCTCTTGTTGTCCAGCTTTGCTGGTAGATGAAAAGAGGCAGCGCTGGTGCTCCATCCCAGAGGTGACAACACTGCTGTCACTGATGGAATAAACTTATACACAGGGCTGGTGGGGAAAGGATGGCTGCTTCCTCTCCCATGATAGGGACATATGACTGTATTGCCTGGAGATCTACCAGCCCTGCTGGTGAAATCCACCCCAGCATCACAGGGAAGCTGCAGAAGAAGTGCTAGACACTCGTAAAGTGGTGACAGTGCCTGGATGATCAGCCCCTCTGCTTTCTTCCCACAGGCGATGCTGTATGTTGGCTCAACAAGTAAAGTCATGGAGATACCGATGGACATGTGCAGGGTGTACCGTAACAACTGTGACAGCTGCTTGCTGGCCAGGGACCCGTACTGCGGGTGGTTCAACGGGACTTGTCAGTCGGTTTATCTAAACCGGTACGCGGTACCCACAGCTTCTTGTTTCTCCATCACCTTTAGCTGGTTGCTTTTGTGTAAGGAATGCCCAGAGCCTCAACGTTCCCCTTCCTGGCCAGGTGCACATGTAGTTTTGAGGCCGTGTTCCTATCCCAGAGAGATGAGCCACAGAATCACAGAATGT